GGATGTTTTTTTTATGTCTCTGCTTACCATTCCGTACGCGAAAAGCAGACCTCAGATACGAAACACGCCACACAGCCAGCTATACGTCCAACTATAGCCGCACTCGCTGCTTGTTTGCGTCCTCTCTCGCTTAGGTGGGAGCTGTTGTTTTCTACAACTTTACTTCGGCAGCGTGCCATCATCGCTGTGGGATCCTTGTCAATCATTGTGAACGCATGTCCACTATTTGCAGCTTTCTTTCAAGAAATTCCATTAATAACGTCTATAAGATGTCCAGTGTTTTGGTGCTTGAGACCATGATCTTCCCCAGAACATCCTGTGGCTGGGGAAGTTTTTGCGAATACGATCTCCTTCACCGCCCAAGTTTCCTCCGCTCATACGACCCACCCTCCCTCCTCCTCCCGCTCCTCCACCCCACACACCATCTTACTGACTTTCCCACGGAGAAATGCATCTCTGAAGGCCAGTTATTCCCCGAGCAGCGAGCAAAAATGACCCTTCTCCTTGTGAATCTCCCAGCATGATGGATCGCGCGGGCAAAACAGCTAACTGAAAATTGCTCTGCCCAAATACAGTCCCGCTCCCTGCAGTGGCTGAACGTGTCCCTCCTGGGAGGGGGGGGGGGTCGCTGAGGACACCCTAGCGTTTAACGTGTCCTGTTTGAAATCCATAGCGATATGTAAGTGTTCGTATTGCAGGTGAAGTGTGTCTTGGTGAACATTTTCGGTGGAATTGTTAACTGTGCAACTATCGCCAACGGAGTGGTAGCAGCATGTCGGAAAATCAAAATGCACGTTCCACTTGTGGTTCGATTGGAAGGTTAGTTTTCAGTATGGTACTCCCTGACTGGAATATCTACCTTTGTCAAAGTCACCGTGATCTGCAGCCCTTCCGCTCGGTTTGGTGATGCACAGAACAGCTCTCTGGGTCGTAAACTTCCAAATCCTACAGCAAATTTTGGTCGCGCTTTCAGCCTGGCGTTTTTGGAGCAGAGGTAATTGCTTGACTCCCGCAAGCGGTGAACAGTGTCTCAAAGTTGATATATCCATGAAAGCATCCTACGCCATACTCAAGTAAAGTGTAAATCCACGCCCTCCCCATATCCGGGGTTAGAGTGCAAATTTATGCCGTTTTTTGTGTTATTGTGCTTGGAGAGGGGACGCGTGCCAAAATTACGTGCCCGCACTCACTCCGGTCATTTGCACTATCGAAATTGCGCGTGTCGTTTGTATGAAAATCACTACCTTGTGGGGAGGGCGCAGACAAATACGCTTGGTTGCGCCGCGGGGGGACCCACTTATTTCTGAAAGATAGTACGCTCTCGGAACGGTCAAGGCATTTCTGTTTTCTGTCCTTTGATGTGGACCAGCTGCGGACTAGTAGACCGTTAGGCGCGTATCAAGAGATCCACGCTGCGGCAGCGATTAGTTAGTTCGTGACTCGACATTCTGTAGCACCTCCACATTACACATATTAGGTCCTGGTCGCGTCATATGACACCAGCCATTGCACGGTTTCTTCCACCGCATCATCGCAGCAGGGATCTCCTGGCTTGCGTCGTTGGCCCTCGTAGCCATAAAGGATCGATTCTGGCGCAGTTGGACTGAGGAAGGGGCATTTCCACTGTTCGTCTACCTGTATCACCGTCGAATGCAGGGGCCATCAAGTAAGACGATCCGTGAAATATTTTGAAGTCACGTAGTAGTAACAATCCAGAGTTTCTAGAGATCACTTGCCAACTCCTGGGACGTATACCTGTCAACTCTTGTAAAATGATTAACACGAGAATGGGAAGAAGCAAAAAAGCAACAGCCGTCCTAGCCGCTCTGAGCCGAACTGCGCCCACGGTTTGGGCGTCTGGTCACATCTAAGCCAGCAATCACGGAGTTGCTAGAAGCAATAGTATATGTGATCATTCTTTTCGAGCTTCAATAGTTACTTGTATTCTTATGGCCGTCTCTAACAAACATTCTTTATACCCTTTTTAATCGGTACTACTGGCAAGCGATATGCATTGACAAACGGAGTGAGCATCAGATTTTGGCATTATCGAAAGAGCATCCGAACAGCAGTTAAGAAAAACCAACTTCCAAAAGAGATTGCCCTATCTGACTAGTTTATGTAGATGAAATCCAGCTTTACGGTGCAAGTCATCAGATCGAGGCTTCTCGAGAACCCGTAGGATGATAGGAGTATTTCTTTGCAACTGGTTGAAACCATTTAACAACAACATTTCGGTAAGGTGTGATATAAGTGAGAGAAATGACCGGATTACATAATGGTATGAATGCAATGACCGTTTGTGAGGTATATTCGAGTACTGGATGATTGAGCAGTTGCAGTTGACCGATACAGTACATTATCAGCATAGCGATTAGAAGTAATGGCGTGCATGACTGGAGTGTGAGTACCTTCAAATGAATGCGTTAGAACACGTACAGAAATAACTAAAAAAGTAAGCGGGAGCTGTTGCTGAGATATGAAGGGGAAAAAAGTGAAAACATAAAATGATAGCCGATAAAGTGCGACGTCGATATGACTGTCCGGCCTGTTGTGAGAAAGGACAATTGACGAAAATGCCGATAATGACAGAGAACCATAAATCATACACGTCTGGGGGCGTCCGCGTGCGGATGTCGCACCGAAAAGACGAGGGTTCCAGATAGTAGATGGCGACAACAGGCAACTCGAACCGAAAATAGTCATCCATGTCTACGACGACGGGGTCTGCATGAAGTCCGGTGCTCCAATCGACACCCTAACACGAGTTGAGAGTACGCCGCGCCCATCGCCGTGCGCGGCGGAGCGGCAAATTACGATTCTCTTGCCCGTCTACCGCGAATGGCGTCTGGGTCAGCATGTTGTACCTTGGTTAGGCGCTATCACGGATCCCTCGGTTGGAAAGGCGCCACAACCAGCGCGTCTATAGATATTCTGTCGTTGTAGCGGATCGACCCTGCATGTATTTTGATTTACCGTGCCACTTGCTTTTAAAGGTAGCTGGCACGATAATTTGGTCGGTCATTCGGCCTAAAATGCAAAGGGCGCTATTTTTAGTGGGAAAATAGAGAAAGAACGGAGTGGAACGGTCAAAAATCTGTGAAGAAAAAGCCTCCGTTCTCAATGACATAAAAATCGGTTATGGACGAGTTTCCCGTAGGCATCTTGCCAATAACGCTACCGAAGGTACGGCTGCATATGTGTACTCATATATCCGTGCAGCACCAGCCGCCATACCAATCCCTTCGCTTCATAATTTGCTCATCAATTGGAATCGATTAAAGCGTCAGGAACGGTTGTCCATTTGTGTCCGGGCGGGCGTGACGGGCGTTTGGGTCGTAATGTTGTGGGCTTGATAGGGCCCTTATGAGGGCATCTCTCTTGGAAAAGGCATTATGCAGCGCCTGCTCAGGGGCGCTTAATTCCGTCCTGCCAGGCGTATTAATCCTACTCGTCTTCGGGGGTTTATCGTGCCAACTGCCTTTAAAAACATCGTATATGGGACAATCTTTGCGATTACGCAACCGTGAACACAGTGGAGCGCTCACCGGACGGTGGGGCGTTCCCTACGACCACGCCGGCGAGCGTTCCGCTGGTTGCGCGTCGATGGAAAGCCAAGAAATTGTAGGAAATTATCATCATTGCCTCTCCGTCTCTGACACTGACTCCGCGTTCTTTAATCATCACGGCCCCGCGCGGTCGTCTACTTCACTCTTACCGTCGCAACTCATTCGCCGATTCGATAATTGCTAACGCTACCAATCAGCTGATTTGTGCGGTAATTTTTGTTGTTTTCTCGCAATATTCGTCTTGTAAAAGCTGAATTATTCTAGTTTCAGCTTCAATTTTCGGAGGTGAGTATGTTTCCCGAAATTAGATTAGATTCTGCAAGAATTTAGCATGAAACCCCTTTGGAAAAATTGTTTCTTTCTTTTCGCATTTTTTTTTCTGAATGTCTTCGTTTACTGCGATGCTATTGGCTAAATCATTTGCAGAATAAAATCTAGCTTCATTAAAACATACTCACCTTTTCTTCTTAAAGCTGCACGAAGAATTATTTCAGCTTCTCGAAGCTGAAAACAATAGAAATCGGTTTAATTGGCGTATCAGTCATTATCGATCGGGGCGGCGTCGGAAGGCTTGCCAACGTGGACGAAGGACCGCCCCACCGTCCGATGAGAACTCGACGTAGCTTGGACAAGGAAGGAATCCTTACGCATAGCAGAACGGGATCGCGTGCTTTGTCTACCAGAGGTCCCAGCAAAAAATTATCGTGCCTTATGCCTTCAAACGTATTGTCGTAAACTGGAATATTTGTTTCTCAAATTCACTGAGAACTAAATAAAAAAAAACAAGAAGAAGTCAAGCTTTTAGCATTTTCTCAATATCAGTAAACGTTGTTGGGGAAACGCAAGAGGAGCGAAGCCGGCGTCAGTGAAAACGCAAGCTACCGTGGAATGTCGTAAGCAGTCACAGCGGCGATCCGTAAGAACGCTTTCCACCTCCCTACACCTCCACTACTCAAAGCCGGCTCCTCGCCGCCATCTCCGCGCTCTGCCTTTGCTATACCGCAAGATTCGTGAGCGCATACGCTGGGTAAGGAAACTGGTAGCTGCATGATAGATTTTTGGCGATATGGCAGCCAGCATTCCCTTTGACAGAAATGAACGGTGCAAAAAGAAATCGCTGGTATGGCTGAACTGGATGCGGTACGGAAAACGGGAACTCCGTTGTGTCTTCCATTTGTTCTCACGTAGGAAAATCTCGTTCTCAGACGGGGAGCCTCGCTTCTGAACAGAGTGAGGGAACAGCTACAGGTCCTTATGGGTCACTTGTAGCGATTGGGAAGCATCACGGTAATCTTCAGCTGAACAGAGAACTCTGTTTCGCAATCGATAAAGGGGCAGAGGGATGGCACGATTACTGGAGGTGCGCGTTTGCTGCCTTGGTGGAAAGGCTGCCGAAGGGATTGAGGAGGTTTGTTCAAACGGCCCCTCGCAGTCTCTTCACAAGGCTGCGTTTATACTTTGCGGCAGCGTAGCGTAGCGCTTCCAGCGTACGCCAGCGGCAGTGCCGGGGAGAGGATGCATATCGATCTAGCGTTCCCAGCGTCACCAGCGGCACGCTGGCGTACGCTAGCGTACGCTAGCGTTACGCCAGCGTTTTGCTAGCGTTTGCAGCGGCAGGGAGTAGAGACTATGGGAGAGCTGGAGGGTACAAAACACATCGATTGCGCGTCTCTGACGGCCACATAGTCTCTACTCCCCTGCCGCTGCAAACGCCAAAGCAAAA